GCCATGCTTGCCATAGCTTGCCGGTTTCTGTTCTTGCTGTCATAATGTTTCTGTCGTGCTAATGCATGACTTCGTAGGTGTATCGTGCCAAGCCTTACCTTGGCAGTTGTTCTCACGGCTGCCATCGCTCGAATTCTATGGGCATCCAGAAACATCACCGAGAAAATGCTTAGAGGCCGTGCCTTGCATGTTTTTATGTAGCCCATGACGACTTGCTGTTTGCTTGAGTGACAGCACATGCATTGGATACAAGGGCATACCTCAAGAATGAGCAAGAATTACTTCCTGTCGGTAGATGCAGAGTTTTCTCGCTTGCATACATTCCGGGATAGAAGGCAATATAGTGCACCAAACATGTCAGATTTCTATGACCTTGATCAGAGTGCATGCTTGCATCCAAGTGCATGCCATGGCAACCTCCGAAACGTCTCGCCCACTGAAATTGCAGAAGCTGGAAAAATTTCGCCGGCAGCTGCCCTATATCAGTCTGTCAGCTTTGGAAGCTGTGCTTCAGAAGGTGGCCTCCGAGGGTGTTCCAGAATTGAGGACCCGAAAAAATGCCAAGCAGGCCATGCAGCAAAACCTGCTTGGCATGGATTCCTATGGGCCTTGCATCCAGCAAATATCCGCACAGAAGGTCGCCGGTGGCCGACTCAGCATTCCTGCTCTGAATATCTGTTCATTTTTGCAAGGTGTGTTTAGCCAGGATGGCTACTGGACAGACATGCTCCTAAAAATGCATGAAAGGAACCCATCAACCTTCGAGCACCCTTGGCATTGCATAATCTCAGCAGACGAGGTTCACCCTGGCAACCAGCTCGCTTCGTCTGGTCGTAAGACATGGTGCATATACTTCAGCTGGCTGGAGCTGACAGGCAGGCTTTTGTCACATGAAGAGCATTGGATGACATGGGCAGTCGTGCGAAGCGATTTGGTTCGTCATGTTGAAGGTGGCATCAGTCAATGTCTTCGGCTTCTCTTGGAGGCCATGTTTTCCAGCGAGCATGGCAGCCCCCTTCATGGCATTTTGTTGAAGTCGGACAAGAACCGACTGCGACTTTACTGGACTCTTGGAGGCTTTCTTCAGGACGGAGCAGCACAGAAGTTGACATGGTGCAATAGACAAGACGGTGGCTCCAGGGTTTGCATGTGGTGCAAGAACATTTTCTCCATAGCTGACGAAGCTGCCGGCGAAGATGAGGATGCTATCAAGATCTCTGCCCAGTATCTGCAGCACAGCGACTTGGACATCAACACGGATGAGGAGATATTGGCATCTTGGGACAGATTGCAGGCCAATTTTCGCACGTGCAGGAAAGGTGAGTTCAACATGGTGCAGCAAGCATGTGGTTGGACCTTTTCGACATGTGCTCTGATGATGTCCAGCTTTCTGAAAGAGCAACAGCTGCTCAAACCGATATCGAACTACATATTCGATTGGATGCATTGCATGTGCTCCAAAGGCATCATGACCTGGGTAATTTTTTGGACAATCCAGAGTTGCCAAGCTTTCAAGCCTCAGGTGTGGAGTGAGGTGGCCGACTTTGTCAGGCTCTGGAGTTTCCCCGGTCATGCTGCTGGCAAGACCGGTCATGCGGCCAGCATGTTTGAGGCCAAGAGGGTGGCCGCCCACAAGAAGGCTGGACACTTGAAGTGCACAGCTTCGGAAATTTTGGGCGTGTATGCTGTACTTCGTTTATACATGAAGACTTGCATCTTAGAACCCGAATTGCAGCTTCAAGTGCATGCTTTCCTGGCATGGTGTCGAGTCTTGGACATCTTGCTCACTGCGAACAGTCGCATGCCTCGGCCCGGAGAGCTTCAAGCTGAAGTCGAGCAAGCACTGCAGTTGGCATGCCATGCTGGGTGGTCGGATTGGCTCCGGCCAAAATTCCATTGGTCGCTGCATTTTGAGCAATGCCTGCAAAGATGCCAAGGGCTACCATGCTGTTTCTCTACAGAGAGGAAACACAAGATAGCAAGGAAATATGGTTCAGGAGTCGCCAACACAACACAGTATGAGACAACCGTGTTGAGTGAAGTCGTGTCCGACCACTTCACACAAGTGAGCGAGAAGCAGCCCTTTAGCCTGGAGGCATGCTTGCTGCAGCCGATTTACCCCGTGCACTCAAAGCTGCACAGCTTTTTGAAAGACCATGCTGTTGTGGGTGATGAGCGATGCCTCACGGCGAACACTTGCAGACTGAGTTCCTCGGCTATTTGCAAGAAGGACGATGTGGTTTTGTTCCCCGACCACAGGAGAAACAGGTTTCCTTTTGGATGTGGTCGCTTGTACTGCTTCTTGCAATGCAATGACCTGCAGTGTGCTGTTGTGGCCTCTCTTGACTTACTCCAACATCAGGAGGAGAGGCATGCTGCCAAATGGCAGCCGTCTGCCGATGGTGGGTCCGGCTTCTTGTTGCTGGAAGTCCAGCAACTGGTGGCATCTTTAATCTACACCACAGCCAACGACCAAAGTGTCACCGTTTTGTTGCCACCTCGACTCCGGCCAGCAGAGACCTGAAAAAGAACTCCAACCTTGAACGAGAAACCCTCAATTGCCACACATGCAAACATGCATGCTGCATGCAAGAAATGGTCAAGTGGGATTTACAAACATGCCTGTTCAGCACTTGCTCGCTTGTGTGTTCCATGCAAGCCTGCTTGCTCCATGAAGCATGCAACTTCATGATGTGCTCCATAACAACAAGCATGGGCCATGAACACATGCATCTGTTCATGCATATGCAGACATGCATGCACCATGAAGACATGCAACTTCAAGATGTTTGCCATGACAGCAAGCATTGTTTGAATTCACGTTTTCCAACGGTTCCATGCCTGCCTGCACAAAAAGCGAGAAAATAAACCTGCTTTGCCAAACACAGAAACCTGGTGTGTAGATATCATGTGTATAGCTCCAAAGCGACCCTGCAGTCTGAAAATAAAATGCAGGCATCCCGTTTCTGAAATGCCGACATCGGGAATCGAATCGAACCAAATCGCCCTGCAACTTAAGGAAATTTAAAAGGCGAAGCAAATTGCAGGCGATTTGGCCTCAAGAACACATCTAAAATTGAAAAAACAATTGATAGACTCTGGAAAACATCATGTGGTTTCACAAGATTTGGAATGTCGATACTCGGGATTTGGTCGAAGTCTAACCCACTTAGCTCGATTAAGTTAACCTACTTAAGTAGGTTAACTTAACCCATCTAAGTGGTTATGTTAACCTCTTAAGACAACTCCTCTAACCCACTTAGCATAACTCTATTAATCGTTTAGCTAAACGACATAACCCTTTAGTATAATCATGTTAATCAACATAAATGGTCATATCTAGTAAGCAAACCACCGGCCCATCCAAGCAGGGCTTCTATCTCCATCTCTAGCGCAGCAAGCTTCGCGCGCAAAGGGGAATCGCCGTCCGTCGCGCCCAGGACACGGGCCGCGGAAGGACCACCTGCAACCTCAGCAGTGTGCAAACCTCCACGGTCCAATCCTACCCCCAACCCACTTGCAGTCGCAGGCTGTGGGAGCCCTGGGGAACGCGGCCCCACGGCTTCAACTGGCACATCGGACGGGGAGCTCCAAACCTTCTCTTGGCTCGAGCTTTCTTTTCCCCCTAACGCGAGGATAAGCTCCCCGATGCATTGGATTTCGCGCTGAATCTCCTCTGCGTCTTCGGGGTCCTCGCCACCGCGCAAAGCCGCGACCGAGAACCTGGTCCGCAGCCGACGGACCATCTTCGTAGGATGCCAGTCCCCGCCTATCTTGGAGAACTCATCCGCAAGGAGGGTGGCTTTGGTGCTTAAGGCGTCAAGGTCACGGGAGCTCACCGTGACTCCATGCGCTTTCAGCGCGAGGACAATCCGCGAAACGCGCGTCAAGTAGTCCGCGACCGGTTCTTGGTCTGGACGGAAAATCGCGCGCAGCTCCGCCTGCAAGCCCTCTGCGGTGCCTGGCACTGAACCTGCTGTCGACGGCGGACCGGACGGTCCCGCCGGGCGGGACCCTGGTGCCGTAGCAGGGACATAGGCAGCACCGGTAGGGACCATGGCCAGCTCCCTAGCCGCGGCGCTGACGTCCACCCGCGGCGGACTGTCGCCTCCAGCGCCCGAGGCCTCAGGGACTAGCTCGGAGTCCTCTTCTTCTTCCTCTTCATCCTCGTCCTCCTCTTCGGCGTCATGGAGGAACTTCATGACTTTCCGCCAGAGAGCCGCCTCTTGCTCTGGCGTAGTGCTGACCCCATCCCGCTTGGACAATGGACGGCTGCCAGTCTCCCTACGCCACTTAAGCCAAGCGACGTAGCTCATCCGCTCGGGATAGGGAACGTCTCCACCCTCGATAGCTTCGAGGAGGGTGACGCCCTCAGCCTGACCTGCAACCTCTGCGGACATTGCCGCAACACAAGGCGAAAAGCCGCGCCTTGGTTAGCAGGCCGCAGGCGTGGCACGCGAAGCGCCGCGCCTTGGTTAACAGGCCGCAAGCGTGGCACACAGTCCACGCGTCCAGGTCACGGACCGCGACAGACAAGCAAAGCAATGCTTGCCCACTCGGGCCGTAGGCACAAGAGCTGTACGTTTCCCAGAACAGCCCCCAATTGTGAAGTCGACCAGCACTGGACTTGCACTAAGCCAATGCAATCACAGCCCGGTCACGCTGTTTTACGACTTCGTGAGTCCAAGCACTTGTGCAGCTACGCCTGAGTGCGTCCGGTCGGACCGCACAGCAACCTAGGAGCTACTGTACGACTCTACCGTGCTCAAAGGCACAAGCTCGGTACTTGAGCCAAAATATTGGCATTGTTACGAATTGCAAAACTCTACATGCAAAGGAAAACTACAAGGTGGTCTGCCGAGTCCTAATGCATCACAGAGCAGAAGATGCATATGCACTCATGTCAGCTCACAGTATATATGTATATATATGTATATATATATATATGTATATATATATGTATATATATGTATATATATATATATATGTATATATATATG